GCACCTACATAAATTATCTGGAGACCTTCCGTACCTGTCCTTCATTTGTTAATGTATTCGATCATTTCTTTGTATCAGTGCAAACTCATGGACATTTATTTTTATTCCTGGAGTTATAATCCAATACTATATTATTGTTTTTGTTCACATGGCTCTGGCTTTGGCCATCGGGAACTCTTGCAGTTGGCTCTTGTGGACCCACCATATACCCCCATCCTTGATCCTTGTCAGCTGATCCTTGGTTTCTGGCACTATGCGTCTCTTTTTCTTATTTGGCCTCACCACGCGGCTTGCGGGATCTTAGTTCCCTCTCGTCCAGGAATCGAACACATGCCCTCTGCGGTGGAAGCGTGGAGTCCTAATTACTGGACCGCCAGGGAAGTCCCATGCATGCCCTTTTCAATCTTATTTTCCCATTGAAATTCATTTTTATTGCATCTTAGGGATTGGGGGAAAAAATTGGCCTGCACTGGCAAGAATTTGAGAAGCACTCCAAAACCTTCCAGCATCTTCCTCTATGTCCTTCACTCACACCCAGCTACCATGACCCATCCCGAGCACCAAGCTTGTGCCTGCCCCAGAGCCTTTGCCCTGGCAGCTCTCTCTGCCTGGAACGCTCTCCCTCCAACTGTTCCAGGTCATCATTCCTGTCTCTGCCCATCTCCCTCTCCTCAAAGAAGCCTCCCTATTCCAAACTAAAGCAGCCCCACCCTGGTTATCTCCAGTACACTCGCTTTGTTTTGTTAGGATCCCAATAGTTTGTCCCTTTCTGAAATGATGTCTTTGATGTATTTGTTTATTGCCTCTAAATGGGAGTGTCATGAGGACAGGCACAGCCCTGGGCATGCACAATAGTGTTTTGGTTTTTAAAAACATTATTTTGAAATATTTTAGAAATGTTTCCCTGAGGTCCCTGGGGGTCTGATAATAATCTCCCTCTACTCTGGCCAACCTTCAGAGGGGCCACCATGCGATACTGTCACGGTGAGGAGGATAGAAACAGTGGCCATACGTGAATCCCATCACCACAGCTTGCTTTGGGCTAGAGGCACAGAGAGGGGACCCCAACCCTCCTCCTCTGCTCTGAGATCCCCACAACTACAGGCCTCACCCAACCCCATTTGAAGGTCAGAGATATTTAGAGAAGGTGGGCCAGCCTCGGGATGGAAGTTGCAGTGGGTGGAACTTGGATCCAGGTGACTTGGGCTCAAAGCTTCCTTCCATTCTCCTTGCCATGTGACTTCCGGGCTCTTGGCCTCAGTTCTTCTGTCTATAAAATGGGTATAATACTCACTATGCTGGGGTGGCGGTGAGGATTAGATGAGATTGTGCTGGCCATATAATACTCTCGAAAACTGTTACCTGTTAGCATGATCCCCGAAGTGCACACACGTGCAGAATTTTGCAGATGACTTTTTTGGGGTTCATACAGTTCCCTAAACCTAGTCCTGAACCCTTGACCTATAAAGCCTCTAAGTCGTCCCCACCCCCAGCTTAATAAAACCAGGGCCCATCGAATGAGTTAGGAGGCTTGAGAGCCAGGCCCCGGGTGAGCGTGAGCGAGGATGCTGGAAGCAAAGATGCCGGGAGGATGAAAGGGGACGGTGGGGAGGGGGCCACCTGGTGCACACAGGGGAGCCAGTGTGTCCGGAGCTGCCTGGGCACCAGGAACAGGCCCTGGGGAGAGGCGGGACGTCGATTCCAGCAGGCGTGGGTGGGGCGGTCCAGCCCAGCAAGGCATTCCAGTCCGGCCGGTGTGGGGCTGGGCTCCAGGAGGCCCCCGGCTCCTGCTCTGACGCCGCCGGAAGCCCCCTGGCTCTCGCCTCCAAGGACGCCTGAGGGCCTGCGGGGTGCCTCCCAAGGCGGGAAAACCTTTGCCTGCGTGCTCACAGCGCTTCCCCCGGCAGAGTGTGCCAGCAAGTGGCTGGCACCGTCTTCACCCACGTTTGCCCTTGGGGTCCACAAAGGTCACGAGAATCTCCCCAGGGGAAGCAAACACACTTGTGCGCCGGCAGGACACGCCACGCTTCCAGGAGGGGATGGGCACGAAGGCGTGCCCTTCCCCGCCAGGTCGCCTCCCCATGCCCTGAGCCCCAGATCCCCCGACAGAGCCGCAGATGGGGACACAGAAGCCCAGTGCGAAAAGGACTTGTCCAGGTCTTTCGCGGGGGGCGCTGGGACACGGGCCAGGGCACATGCACCACGCACATCCCACACGTGCGCTCAAACACATCTACACTGGCCCTGTGGTGCGTGCGCCCACACCTGCTCCTGCATGGGCACATCCAGACAGGAGGGCCCACGCCGCAGCTCCCCTCCTTCAGGCACACCCACCCACTGCCCCATGACACCCACGCCTCAAACAGGCCTGTGCAACGCATGTTAAGGGGATGGGGAATTTCTACAAAGGCTGGGGCTCAGGGACCACCATGGGTTGCGGGGGGGGGGGGG